GATGGTGACACAGCTCATTGTACTGAAAGAGTGTACAGATGCAGAGCGATCTTTCCACAGACTGACCAGCACAGCTGCGCCGCCACCCATAATATGGCCTATAGCATAATCTCATCGCTCCCCACATTGGGGTCATGGATGGGGTGCCAACAAACTTGCACATCATGGGGTTCCTCGATACTCCATGAACTGGGAGCATCTGATTTCAGTGTGGACTTGGTCGCTTACCTCAGGGTTACCAACCTCTTGATACATCAAGGTGTCCATTGCTGAGTACCACTTGACACATTTGGAGGGGCATCACATGGGCTTTTGATCAACCTCCAGTCGGTTCAGGAGAGAAAGGGTGCATTGGCATTGGTTATTGACCGTCAATTGGGATCCCACTGGTCTCCCCATACTGCATCACAGCTCATTGGCTAGGAGTATCTGTCTATCTCCCATAAGGGCCAGTGAGAACAATCTTGCCATAACGTTCATCTGGAGCCCTCAAATGGGTTAGTTAGGTGGCAAGTTGTCACCCTAGGAGGTGGGACTGGTTGTCCTATCAGATATTGCCTCAGCTAAAGCAACAACTCGCAGAGTTCCTCAAGTTTACCAACTCCTTACATGGGTTCAAAAAAATCCCGTCCAGAGACACGACAACTTGGTGCTTGCTTGGTATGACCGGTGCAGGTCCTATCACATGACATGGCAGTGGCTCATTCCACAGACACCAGCTTGGGTGGGTGTTGATCCAGCCGACTGCTTCACACTTTGCTGAGTGGTGACACAAGTGTAAGTTCTCCCCATCAACCGAAAGTGAAGGAAGTCTTGTGAGAGAGATGGTGATCCACGACGCAAACTGACAGGAATTGGGTGAGTGGAGGATCCATTCTGCCCATTCAAGGACTCAAATTGAGAAGCCCTGTACAATACCCACATCTCACTAGCACAAACAATTTCTGGGAGCTCCATCTTCTTGTGGTAGAATGACTCAAACCATTCATTCCACTCTCCTTGGAGAGCAATCACTTGATGGTAAGTCAATGTCGAGTAATCTGTAATGGCAGCATCAGCATCCAATGTCACCACCTCTCTCATCAACTCCTTCCTCCCAATTGGCAAACCAGTGTCATGCATGTTTACAAGGAGATTAAGAACAGCACTGTACCAATCACCATTCCTGCTCTTGCCCCAGGCAATCATGATGTCTAGGATGTTTGCCATTTCTGGTGTCATGGGCTTGGCTACTCCATTCATCATGAATTGCTCAAGAGAGATTCTGGGAATCTGTTCTGTAAGCACTGGCAAGTAGGGGTAATCCGTCTCTTCCTCAAAGAAATCTTTCTCAAACAAAACATACTTCAGCTCAAACTGATTCCTTGTCTTGCGCATTTCAATGTAAGGGGAGCAGTTGGATGCATCCATGAAAGCCTTAAATGCAGCACTGGCAATGAACCTCATATTATTGTTGCTTTGTTGTTACTTCTCTGTTTGTAGGACTTTGTGAGCGGAAGTCGTGTTGGTGTGGTTTCGCGATTGTCGCCGTACCTCAGTCGATGGTCGCCGTACCTCTGTTGGCGGGTATCTTTTGGGCTTGCGATCTTTCGCGGGAATTCTGGAATTGTGAGAGATAAGGTTTTGGTTCGGTGCTCCATTTCAAATTCCCTGACACATTCATCATTGGGCTTGCTGGCGTCGCACTGTGTGATTTCAGTACATGGAGCAAATTGGGCGGTTGGATCTTGTGGGACGTTGGAGGTTTTTTTTTCAGTAGTCTAGTCCCATCCAAGAACTACAAATGACCTTGACCAAAATAATGGAAGCCCGTTGCTCTGAACTGTTTCAGTTTCACACATTGATTAATAGTAGTTAAATCTAAGGGTACTATTGCGCCGAAGCCCGTTGCTCTGAACTCTGAGTCAAGAGCGTTGACAGCCAGCTAGCCGAAGAATTCTCTGGACTTACGGATAGCTTTAGAAGTTGATACCAGGTAGTCTAATAAGGTAATACGATACTAGTATGCTGCTAACACCGCGCCGTTTCCTTTGTTTGAGCAGCAAGTATAAATCTGAAGGAGGTTTTGGCCAAGGTGCCTCGGCTGCTAACGAAGGCTTTTTAAAGACGCACGAAAACAAGCAAGACGATGGTCAGAAGAACTAGCTAGCTAGCTAGTACTCAAGTATCTAGCTTGTGGACCTCAATTTGGCCATTGGGGGTGACTGGGATGCAATTGTTGCCAACAAGAAGACTCGTAAACGCCTACAAGGTACAAGGAAGACTTGACTCGACTCGACTCGACTCGCTCCTTGTCGGCTTTGTAAAGTAATAAGCCTGGCTGATTTTGATGCTGGTAGCCGGTAATGGCCACACTGGCTGGACTAAGGCGTTACAATGTACAGAACAGAACGACTCAATGCAACAAGGGAAGGGTACACGTTTTCTAAATCATTCGTCCACCGTCCACAACATTCCACACATCCAACTTCTGCGCGCTTCGGTGAAAGGTCAGTGAACACCGAATAAGGTGAACATAAGCATTGGCTATAGCTGGCTATCTATTGTTTTAAGCAAGCTTGCCCGCTGCAAGCCTTGCATGGACCGAAGCTGTTCTGGATCAGTTGGCTGTTGGCTGCTGCTTCTTTCCCATCTCCCATCTCCCATCACTGCTCCCGTACCTACTTCGCCAGTAGCTAGCTCAATTTAAAATTCTCTAGACTACATGTAGTAGCGTCGTTTCATTGCATCGGGCAGAGATTCGGATTCCAGGACCTGGACTGCCATGGCTTCTTTGTTGTGGCCTAGCTAGTAGAGCAAGCAACTCGAAGTTGTCTTAGATAGCTGGCTAACAACTAACTGTGATGGCTGGGGTATCGAGGAGTCTTTAGTCTGTGCAGGGTGCCTTGGATCTTGGACAACAATCTCTCTGATATCCAGCAAGTATTGCCCCACAGCCCACAGCCCAAACTGGAGCCACGGCTGCAGAGAATGTGCGACAGGTATTGTGCTGGGTGGGTCGCGTCTTCGCGTCTTCAATAGTATTCCCCCAGCATTCCACATTCAATACTCTAATACTAGTACTAGTACTCTGCACTCGAGTAATTGATCCTGCAGATCTTGGTCATCACGTCGCGCCAAACCATTTCTAGCTAGAGCGGACCACTGAACACAGAACCATTACTTTTGCTATCTAGCTAGAGCTAGACCCGCTACGAGCCTGTACTCTAGCTAGAGGCATCTAGACTAATAAGAAACAAACTTTTATTAAAGGCTGCTCCCCCCTCTGGACTTGTACCGCTGAACGGAGCCATAGCGTTCTCATAGCCCGGATGCACAAGACACCGTGCACGTACCAGCTCTAGTAGGAGGGGCAGGACCGTCCGACGGACTTCTCTCAGGCTTTAAAAACTGCCACAACTGACTCAAAATCCTGGTTCTGTTAAGCGGATGTAAGAGGATGTGAAGATTTAAGAGGATGTTTAAGAGGATGTTGAGTATTTAAGAGGGTGTTGTTAAGAGGATGTTTATTTAAGAGGATGTTCATTCGTGATAAGAGGAAGCTCTATGGTGTTTCAATGAAGGCTTAAGAGGATGTTTCGAAGCTTTAAGAGGATGTTGTTAAGAGGATGTATATTTAAGAGGATGTTTAAGAGGAAGTTGAAGATTTAAGAGGATGTTAAGAGGATGTTAAGAGGATGTTTAAGAGGATGTTGTCAGTCGTGGCAATTTCAATGTTTTTAAATCCATAGCGAAAACCGTCGGACGGTTCAGGGCCTACTCTACCGTACCGGTATGAGCTAGACTAGCTACTAGCATGGAATTTTGACAAATCGCTGCTTTTGAGGATTTCTGTATTATCTTAACATCAGGGCAGATGATCTTCCGCTAGTCAAAAAGTTCAATCCCACTTTCTTATCACAATGACCACTGACAGGATTAGTAATCGATAAGGGCTTCAGAGCTGAGTTCCCATGATGGTGCGAGCGATGCATTATGCATGCTTTTTAATGCATACTAGTAGCAGCCGCATCGTGAGGAGCTTCCGGTTTGAGCTTTAGCTAAAAGCCTCTCATCCCTCATGTTTCTATCAGATTCTTCTTGTCTTCTTCAACAGTTCAAACGTTCAAACAGACACTGTTATTTCGCGCGAAAATAGAGGCGATAAGGCGATAATGCTGGTCGTGTTCATTCAGTAAACTGACAATTAAGCTGTATTGCTTCCAAGTCAAAAGGCTGTACTTTTTACATCTAGCGTTCGATCGAAAACGGCTGGGTTTGTTAGTTCTTTCTCCGAATGGTGAATGGTGAGAGCTTTCTCGGCACCCCTTTTAGCTAAACATAGATGGTGAGCCCCCCTTTTCTACTGGCTGCGTGGGAATTGCCAATGCACGCGGATACTACGTACTTTGTGTGTTGGCTAACGGACATCTACCAGAAACATGGGCCTTGCCTACCGTACGAGTGTTGGTTAGGGCTATCGAGAGTATCGTACGAGTTTTGACTTCGTTACTGCGTAAATTGCTACCAATCCACTTAAACCTCACTCTGGATGCAACTTTGCCATCCAACAATACAAGCCAATGGCCATCTATCGCTTCGTTTGTTTATTGTTGGAATTTTCCTGACCTCTCGGAGATTTCAGCATTTTGAAGAATATCTACTCAGTAGCGCTTTACAATCGTGATAACCACCAATATTGGTGTCCTTATTTCTTGGCCTTGCTGCAATGGTGCATTACACAGAGGTACCGGTATGTACCGGTGGGTTTGTCCAAGGTGCTCTTTTTTATTGGGGGTGGGGGGCGATACAGTTCACACCCCGAGTACTAGTCTATCATATCTACATGTAATACTACCAGGTCCTCCCCAGAGTCGAGTCCCAGAGTCGAGTTCTCTGTGTGATGTGACAATGACCAAGCAGAAAGGAATTCGAATGCCACCTGCTCTTCGACATTCTCCACGTCGACGTACACGGTGTACGACCTCCTCCACACTTATTTCATTTGTACTGGTCGATAATATATATTTATGACTTATATGACCATTTGGATCGAACGCCCTGCCACTGGCGGGTTTTGGACATTGAAGCTCACCCTTGCTCCATAATTTCATTTTCAGCTTGAGGCAGAGTGTAGATCAACCACCAGTATTTCGGTTGATAGTGCACACACAGCACATACATGTACTCCACCACTGCAGTACACCATTGCCACTGACCTCCAGCTATTCCCAGTCAAATCCTTCACAGAGTTCCCATTGAATAGTATATAATCTATCTTTACTACTTACACAAATTCCAAGCGAAGAAAGCAAGAAAGCACACACACACAAGTCGGACCATGTTGGACAAGGCGTCCCCGTTCTTGGTCGACTCCCTTCCCGACACGGAGGATGTACTAGTACCTTCCACTCGTACCACTCGCAGAAGCTCCATTATCGAGGAAGCCTCTCACGAGTTTCTCAGTAATGATGTCAAGCAGTACCTCCAAGAAGCCGCAGCGGCTCATAATAATGATGATCTCAGCACGGTAGCCGAGATGGTGGGCGCCAAGAAGCTGACCGATGAGCAAGATATTCAGAAGCATTCGCGGGTACTGGATAAGAACGATCGCAAGACGCGCTGCGTGTCCCTCTTGCTCATTTTGATTGGCGCCATTGTCTCGGTATCCTTTCTCTATGTGGGGATCACCAAAGACCGACAACTGGAAGCAGAGAGCTTTGAGGATCTTGCCAACCACACGGCCCAAGAAGTCAGCGACGTCATGGCCGAGTTTGAAAGCTCCGCCTTGTGGATTCATGAATCCTGCCGCAATTGGAGAGCGGACAACTTTACCCGTCGAGACTTTGCCATTCTCTACAATTATCTCGTCGTGGGAGGCCTCGATATGTACGCCGCCGAGTGGATCCCCAATATTACCCATGACCAGCGTCCCAGGATTGAAGCCGAGGGGCAAACGGGGTGGGGTAGCGTCGAGGGGGTGGAAGACTACCAGGGATTTACAGGCTACGAACCAGACCCCAACAACACTGGAGAACTCATCGTGGCGCCTCGAAGTGAACAACCCTTCTACTTTCCGATTCATTTTGGGGAACCCGCCGAGAACGTGGCCAACGCAGGACACTTTGATCTCTTTAGTCCGCCCTATGAACGCCCCTACATCCTCAAGGCTCTGGAAACCTGGGAACCCGTCCTGACGGCCAAGTTTGAAGTCATGAAACGCGAGGATCTAGTAGGAGGATACACGGTGGAATTGTATCATCCCGGTACTCCCTTGCCCGACGAGTTTGACGTGACAACTGCTCACGATTTGTCCAATGTGGTCATCAACATTAATTCGGTACTCTACCGGGCTGCCACCCATCAGACGGACCGTCTCGAAGTGTATCTTTATGATACTACCTTTGCGGCGGTTGACGACGACGTGCAACCTGACTTTTTGGGTGGCATTGCGCGAGATGTCGAGACGGCGGAACTGGTGATGCTCAATGAGACGGAATACGAAGGACTCTCCGAAACGTATCTCTACTTTGAACGGACTCTGGCGATTGCCGGGAGACAGTGGAAGGTCGTGGCAATCCCCAAGCATGGAAACTTCAAACCGAATATTACCTCTACCATTCTGAGTGGCGGTCTCATCTTTGTGGGAGCCGTCTTTTTGTCCATGTGGATCATCAACAACATGCAACGGGCCAACGAAATGAATCGAGTCATTACCAAGGCGGCGGCCGAAGCGGCCATTGTGGCATCACTCTTCCCGGCCAATGTCAGGGAGCGCATGATCCAAGACGCACTTGCCAAACAAAAGGGAGTCTATAATGGAGAAGATTTTGGGGATGATGAAGCTTTGGTTGGGTCCGGTTACGATGGGGCCATTGAGACAAGGCTACTTAGTAGTGAGGGCATCTTTGGAAGTAAACCGATTGCCGACCTTCATCCCTACACCACCATCATGTACGTTGCTTGCTTCACTACCGTGACAATCAATTTATTTGTCTTGTTTAGTTGCAGTTCGTTCGTCACCTAGCTAACCTTGCTCACTCTTCGTCTTTTACGTTACTCGCGCAGGTTTCTTGATCTTGTTGGATTCACGGCATGGAGCTCCTCACGGGATCCCTCCCAGGTAAGATACTTTGTCCTTCATTGAATCTTTTTTGTTTGTTTCAAGCCATCATCGCAGTGCCTTACGTCTCTTTTCTTTTGTTGCAGGTGTTCCAATTGCTCGAAACCGTTTACCACAGCTTTGACACTATTGCAAAGCGCCGTCAGGTAAGCTACAGTGCTTTTGCGTTCTTCGCGGGCTTTTGAATCTTCTCCATCTCACGCCAAATCAATACTCGATTCAAATCTCGTAGGTGTACAAAGTTGAGACAGTGGTGAGTCAATTAAAATTAACTGCTTGAAGTCCCTCGCTGGGTCCCTCCTTCTCACCAGTGCTTGCTCTCTGTTGGCGGTCTTGATCTGCTAGGGTGATTGCTATGTTGGTAAGATCGATCGCTGCTTCCCTTTTGCTTTGCGGTGACACCACATTGATTGCTCATCTCTGCACCATTATCATGGATCTTGTAGCCATCGCTGGTCTCCCAACCCCACGAAAAGATCATGCTGTTGTCATGGCCAGGTTCGCGAACAATTGCCGCGATCAGATGCAAAAGATCTGCAATGCCCTGGAGACAGTTCTTGGTACGAATCGAATCTGGAGTTACTGGTACAGTGCTCATCGTGTCGCTGAGGTCTAATCATCTGATTTTTTATTTTCTCAAAAGGACCTGACACGGGAGATCTTGCCTGCCGTGTGGGATTGCATTCGTAAGTGGTGCTGAACTTTCGCGTGCATCTTGTTACCCTGGCATCTTGGTCTCACGTAGCCGATTATTCTCCTTTACGAAAACCTCAGAGGTCAGGTTGTTGGGGGAGTGCTTCGGGGTGAAAAGAGCAGATTCCAGGTATGTGCTGCAATTTGCACCTAGCATAGCGCATGATCTCGCATCACATGGCAAATCTCACCCGTCTTGTGCTTCCCGCAACTGCCAGCTCTTTGGTGATACAGGTCCGTGGATACCCTGCTAGCTAGCATAAGAGGGAGAGACAAATTCACGCCAATCTCACCTCACAATCTCCTGTTTTACGTTTTGTAGTCAACATGGCATCGAGGATGGAGAGCACTGGGGTAAGTGATTGTGGTGACACGACTGCCAACTGAGATCTCGTCTCCTTGCTAACTGGAGTATCCATTGACTTGAATCGACATTCAGGCCCGAAACCGTATTCAAATGTCTCGAGAAACTGCAGAACTCCTACAAGACGCGGGAAAGGGTAACTGGGTTGTTCCCAGGGACGATCCAGTTGCTGTCAAAGGCAAAGGAACGCTCTCTACATTCTGGCTTCAGATGAAAGTGGGTTCAAGGGCATCTTCGAATTCTCTGAGTGAGCTTGATATCGAGGAAAGCTGCCGTTTACCGGCGCCCGTCGTGAAGAAGGAGCGGGTTGTACCGTTGGCCGACGAGAAGACCGAACGTCTGGTCGCTTGGAACGTCGAAGTCCTTTGTAGCCTCTTGCGAAAGATCGTGGCAAGAAGGGCAGCCAGAAGTTCAGCCAGCAAACGCCGATCGGAGTCTCCTAATCCGAAGACACAAAAGCAACCGGAGATGGTTTTGGATGAAGTCAAGGATATCATCAAACTGCCATCTTTCAATGAAACTGCTGTCAGGAGACAAGTGGACCCAAACACCATTGTTTTGAGCGCTCAAGTGACGAGAGAGCTTGAGTCTCTGGTATCCAACATCGCTTCCATGTATCGTGACAACCCCTGTAAGTTATGAAACTGTGGTGGCTTTGGTTGGTTGCTCAAATAATGCACTGCTGACACGTGTATCTTGTGCACAACTATTCATTAGTCCATTCGTTTGAACATGCTTCGCATGTCACAATGAGCGGTAAGTGTGACAATGATGTCGGCGGGCCAAGTCATTTTCACATCTCATGCTCAATTCAATGTACCTGCAACGTTCTATTTCTTCACCAGTTTTGAAAATGATGACCAGAATTGTTGACCCCAAGGAGATTGCCGCAAAGAAACGACAGGGTGAACTGAACAACAACCAGCTGGAGGCTGAGCTTCACGAGTATGTGACCTAGTCGTTGCCTCTAACAATGCACCCATCGATACCGTCCGAGTACTCACTAGCTCTGTCTCTCCTTTTCACAGTCATACGTTCGGGATCACTTCGGATCCTCTTACTCAATTCGCTTGCGTCTTCTCGGCATTGATTCATGACCTTGGTAAGCACATTGCGTGCCTTGTAGAAGGTCTACCGGACGTATTCGAAGAGCTTCCTCTCATTTTCTTTGCGAATTTGCAGACCACCACGGAGTCTCCAACATGACCTTGGTTCAGGAAGCATCCCCTCTTGCAATCAAGTACAAGAACAAGAGCGTAGCCGAACAGAACTCTGTGGATCTTGCCTTTGATCTGTTGATGAGGCCTGAGTATACGAACCTGAGGGTTGTCGTGTGCTCTGGCGAGGAAGAGTCTAGTCGTTTCAGGTCGCTTGTAGTCAACAGTGTCATGGCAACTGATGTCATGGACAAAGAACTCGGCTTGGCTCGAAAAGCACGGTGGGCCAAGGCTTTCGATGAAGATGCCAGCAACGAAGAAGGTGATGAAGTGGCTGTCAACCGTAAAGCAACGATTGTTATTGAGCACTTGATCCAGGCTTCCGACATCTCCCACACGATGCAGCACTGGCACGTTTACGTGAAGTGGAACGAGAAACTCTTCCATGAGCTCTACAGAGCTTACAAGAATGGTCGCCTGCAGCAAGACCCGAGTATGGGGTGGTACAATGGTGAACTTGGATTCTTTGACTACTATATCATCCCATTGGCGAAGAAGCTGTTCACCTGTGGAGTGTTTGGCGTCTCGAGTGACGAGTTTTTGAACTACGCACTTGAAAACCGTGAAGAATGGGCGCGGAAGGGGGCTTCTATGGTTGCCCAGTACGTGAAAAGTTACGAGGAACAGTACGGCAAGGTAGATCCAATGCCCCAACCACTGAAACCCGAAGAATCGAGTGTTACGGCTTCTTCAGACGACAACTCTTCAGTGGGCCTGCCAATTGACTCGGTACCGGAGCCGCCACAAACGGAGCCATAGTCGTTGCGGTACACGGACTAAGCGCTGAGGGGACAACGGGTTTCTGCGCACCTCCAACTTCTTTCATCCAATGTTGCATACATGTCAAGGGTCTGCTCTCATCGGGGCGAGAGGCAATTTTTTAAACCTCAGGGATCCTCCATCGATATCCTCCTGCTTCACTGAGTTGTGTTCCGTTACAACGAAGGGCTCTTTTTGTCATTGTAATAATGATAAAACTGCATACTAAGCTAGCATACACGTAAAGATCTATCATGTTGCACAGTGCCGAAGACCAACGTTCCTAATCCCCAATGATGTTCTACCAAAGTCCAGGTCTCCACGGCTCTGGATAAAGCCACTCATTTATTTGTGCCCACCCACAACATCAACCCCCACCATGCCCAAGCTCATCCTGCGGAACCCTGTCCCGAGTTACGTTTCCTCACAAGCTCCGCCCTGCCGGTACCGGTACCAGTACGCCACACTATGGATACTCTATCGGCTGCCAGAGCCAGCTACTTGAGCTGCTACCGGTACCAGTACCCCACGTCTAGATGTTGAACCGGAAGAGCTACGTACGGTACTGATACTCGAGTGCTCGGGAATCAAAGCACAGTACAAAACCGTATCGTAGGTTCACGGCTCACGATGTCCAAGGTCTTATTATGCAATAGAAACTGCGGGACTGTCATTATTATTGCTGTGACCAAGGGACATTTGTGTTGTTAAATCCTGAGGTTGCAGCGCCCCTTTTCTGAGATCTTTTCTCGAAAGGCAAGAGCGCAAAAAGCTTTCCACAAAATTCAACCTCATTCTTCTTTCTCGATTGACGAGCAGTGAGAGGACGACCGTACTAGTACAGTACGACCATGATGATGATGATGCCGAAACTCCTACTAGCCGCTGTCTGGACTTGGCTGATCTTGAGCCTTTGCACGAGCTTCCTTCTTGCTGATGCACAATCGTTGGACGATGCTACTTTCCGGGAGGCTCTGGAGCTGTACCATGATGACCCCGGCGAAGCCAGTGCGGCTCATGGCCCCATTGAATTTTGGGATGTGTCTCTTGTCGCGAATTTCTCCGACCTTGGTTTTGATGGATCCTTTAACGGGAATTTGACGGGTTGGAATGTGAGCAGTGGTACCGACATGTCACAGGTATGTACAGTACAGTAGGATTGTCGCCTGGCAAGTGGTTCAGTTTCGACTGCATTAGCTTTTTCTCACATGGATATTTTCATCATTGTCATCACCATTACAGATGTTCTTCAATGCGACCTCCTTTCAGTCTGATCTCAGCCTTTGGGATACAAGCAGAGTCACAAGCATGAGATCAGTAAGTGATGATTGATTCAACCTTTTGGCTTTGGCTTTGATCGATAGCTAGCTAGCCAGCTACTATCTTTTGCCTCCATCAATGTCAAGACTTAGGCGTTCGTTTATCCTTTTTTGGCCACAGATGTTTGCCCTCTGTACTTCTTTCTCCAGCAATCTTTACTGGGACACTTCCAAAGTGACTGACATGAGCGGAATGGTGAGTTGCTGGAAGAAATTGAGAAACGACAATGGCCCATGTAAAAGCACACACCCACTCACTCACCCAATCCTTTTACATGAATTTCTACGCATCCACAGTTTGCCTTGGCTTCTGTGTTCAATGGTGATATCACGGGATTTGACACATCCAAAGTCAACAATATGAATCGAATGTAAGATTTCCTTCGTTGGTTGTGGTTGTTGCTGCCTGCCGTCGGTATTGTCCAATAATATCCTGTCGGCACATCTATTGTACAGGTTTCTTCAAGCCAAGACCTTCAACTGGCATCTACCAAATTGGAATACTTCCAACGTGCGAGGCATGGATTCCATGTAAGTCAGAAATGCAACACACTCCATCATTTCCATGAGCTGTGCAATCTGTGACTCATGTGTTTCTTTCGCCCTTTTTCATCAGGTTTACGTTTGCGTCCATGTTCAACGGCAACGTTGGTACTTGGGACGTCTCAAGGGTGCAGACCATGAAGTCCATGTTTGCTGGTAGGTCTCTAATAATGTGCATCATGGTACCACAACTTTCCTGCGTTCTCTGCATACATCTAACGATTGTTACCTCGCTGTAGGCGACGAGGGTTTCAACGTTGACCTTTCTGCTTGGAATACCACCAGTTTGGTGGAAATGGAACAAATGTTTTGGCAGGATAGATCCTTCTCTTCTGATCTTCCCTGGGATGTCAGTAGGGTAAAGAATTTATCCCTCGTGTTTGCGAATGCAACCAGCTTTAATGGAAACATTTCGTCCTGGGACACGAGCAATGTGGAAGACATGTTCAAGACGTTTGAAGGTGCCCTCTCCTTCAACGGGGACGTTAGTGGCTGGAATACGTCCAAAGTCATTTCCATGTGGTCCACCTTCCAGTACTGCATTTCGTTCAATCAGGATTTGAGTTCCTGGGATACATCACTGGTGGGTGACTTTGAATCCATGTTCGAAGAAGCAATCCTCTTCAATGCGCCATTGAATTCCTGGAATGTGTCCTCGGCCAAAATCATGTCCTCCATGTTCAAAGGCGCCGTGTCATTTTCACAAGATATCTCCAGCTGGGTCACATCGAATGTGGAACGCTTTAACGGCATGTTTGATAACGCGACATTGTTCAACAGTGACATCTCTGGGTTCGACACCAGCAAGGCCACCACCATGCAGGAAATGTTCAAAGCAGCAACATCGTTTAGTCAGTCGCTGGCAAACTGGGAGACGGGTTCGGTAGAAGACATGGATGGCATGTTTCGAGAAGGAATCTTTGACGATGACATTTCAGGCTGGGACACATCATCTCTGACCACCATGAAACTCATGTTTGCTCGAAACCCAGTTTTTAACAGCCCCTGCAACTTTGATGTCTCCAAGGTCAAGGAGATGACAGGAGCTTTCTGGAGTGCGACTGCCTATAACCAGTCACTTGCCGATTGGAATGTGAAAAAGGTGACGGATATGAGGCATCTATTCGAGAATGCCAAGTCCTACGAGGAACACCTTTGCTGGACGCTCTCGAATGCAGTCAAAATTGACGAAATGTTTTGTGGCAGCGGGGCTTCTTTCAATCGCTCCTGTATCCATTTGAAGGGTCTGGTGGACAAAACAATTACGGATTGCGGAGGAGATCCAATGGCGGATCAGGCAGCAAGTCAAGAAGGTGACGATAGTGGAGCCAGGACCTGGAAAGCGGTACCAGGGGTTGCTTTCTTTTCGTTGGTTGGAACGGCCATAACTCTACACGCGCTAAACTAATTACAGGAAGGCTCTAAGCTATGAAAGGAAACGGGAAATGATTGGGAATCATGGGCCTTGGCCATCAAAACCAGCGGAGTGCATGGGCGAAGGGGGTGTTGTTTTGATCGAATCGAATCATTCTACCAGATGACACAACTCGAGGCATCAGTGCAGCACCGATGCAGGACTAGGCAGAGTACATCCAATGGTACGAAGACAAACCACAGGCATGATTTGCGGCCCATGTGCCTGTACCGTTTGTATCGGTACCAGTACCGGTACCGGTACGGAGTGCAGTCGTACCCCTCCCAGCTAAATGTTGATTCACTGTTTTTCTTAAAATCAAGCGTTTCTCTGGCGAGAATCCGCTCCAAAGATACGGACCACTTTCCTCCCTCGCCCTCAAGATTCCGATAGAGTACCGCTAACGGGTACGACTGTACCAGGTACCGTACATTCCGGCACGGTGCTTTTTCCGGTACCAGTACCGTGCGCGCTGTTGGAAGAATTCACCACTTGGAAACGAAGATCGATCTTCTGGTGCGTAGAAGTGTGCAGCCAACACAGCACTCCCTGCTTCCACGGTACCAGGTACCTCCGATAGTTTATCATCGGGCTAGCTACCAGTAGTAGTAGCTACCGGTAGATACCGGTAGCTGCTGCACGCCCACGGAGATGTTTCGAAGTGGTGGCGAGGTGCTGCGACGCTGCGACCAGATGAGCGTGGCTCTGTCGTATGCGGGGACAAGCCGTTGGAAGCAATTCGTGGAAGCAGGAGATTTTTGCGTGCATCCCTTGTGTAATTGAACTCCGGAGTTTCCTACCAGCTCTTACGTGGTCGTGTGGGAATTGATCTTCAAGATTTTGCGATGACTATTGCCATCGTGATGTGAGGGTGGGAGTCTATTCGATTTGGTGGGTTTGAAATCGCAAGCACTCGATCCTCGAGAGTGACCATCACTCCGATTCAGCAAGGATGCGCTTTTCGATTTTATGCTGTGTTGGAGCTGTGGACTTGTTTGTCTCAGTTTTCGAAAAAGTTTGGCTTTGAAACAACACCAGTGTGAGTGTGGAATCTCCTTGCGCGCTGTCTACTTTGCTCGGGAAAGTCCTTTTACCTCATTGTCTTCTATTCTGTCTCTTCTCTATTTCAGTGTTTTCTGAGCTAAGCGTCGGAAACGGAACAAAAAGACTGTTTCCTCTTGGAGCACAAATCCTGCGGGCGCGTGTTCTGGGAGTACAAGAGATCATTATTTGGAAAGAGTTTTTCTTTTTTGCTTCGGTGAAGCTTTGAAACAATGAAGAACCTCTTCTACTATAACCTCAAGATCAAGTTCATAAGTCCAACTCCTGCTGTGCTACCGAAGAATGCAAAGCCAAGGGATGTAGTGGACTTGGAGCTTGTGACGACTGACACACCATTGCACCTGGGAAAGAAGACCAAAGCCCAACTATTCGATGTTGTGAGACCTATCATCTATAATTCAACCTTTGGATACCCCTACATTCGAAACCCAGATCAAGTTCATGGCAATGTATGCGTCTGCTGCTCAGACAAGCAAGAGGAAATCCTGAACTTTGTTGATCTGGTCCGGAAGAGTGGGGCCGTTGCTTTGATCGTTCTAGAGCAGCCCAAGCGTGATAGCAACATTCCGACCTTCTGCCTTGGCAGAGACGTTGTTTGCAAGCTTGCCAGATGGGCTGTTGCCTCTGTTTGTATTGAAGAAGTAGAAGGGCCCATAAGCAAGGAGAATGCGCATACCGGTACGGTAGAGACAAGACAGTTTCATCTACATGGCGCGGAAGTTTCCCTCAAGGAGCCAAGAAAAGAAGGTGGCCGAAGTTCGTCAAGGAGCACCCTAACCAAGAGTGGTGGCCCATTGGAAGCGGATCAGAGAGCGACAAGCCGACCATCGTACAGAGACATGGCGAGTGGTACCCCAGCAAAATTTGACAGAGGCGACTTGGATCATCGCTACAGTGACCCACCTCCAGTGGAGAGAGACGAAAGGGGGCAAACAAGTGGCGGAACTTGGTATTCAGGAATTGTGAATGCAGGTGCTGGCATGGTGAATGCAGGTGCTGACATTGTGAAGAGTTTTGTCTCTAGGGAGCCGGATCTCATTCGCATTCTAAACGACAAAGGGTGGGCACACCATTCTGGGTTCAAGAGTTATAAGGAAGGCCTTCGCTCAGTCCGAGCAAAAGGAGACGACAACGAAACAATTGTGCACGTGGTCTCGTTTTTGGGTTCGATCACTCCGACTCCATTGAAGCTGACTGTTTGCATGGAGCTTTGGATGACTGCTGAGACGCCTAGCGAAGCCCTCTTCGATGCCATTGTGGTGGCCATGTCAAGGTGGGGGCTCGAATCCAAGAAAGCTACTAGTCTTGCCAAGAAACAGAGGTCTTTCGCACATCGCCAGGAGCCACATATTATATACTCTCGCTTTTTTGAAGCCATGTTGGACGAATTCCTTCACCGCGGTGGTAAGCAGGCTGTGCATGCTGTTCTTGGCGGGGAAGCTGCGGTTGGGATGTTCTGGTCGCGCGCATTATTCTATTGGTATGATTCTGGTGCTATGGACACCGCAAACATCAATTGGCCAGTTTGGTGGAAACTGCAAGGTGTAGTGGAAGGCTCTTACTTTGCGAGTGAACAGGAAGAGTTCGTGAGCTTGGTTGGCTTGCGGCGATTCCAAACCACATTACTCTTTCTTGAAAGATCGGTCTCAGATGTACATGACGTATTTTCAGTGCTTGAAAGGGATTCGGAACGAACAGCTGTGGTCTTAGAGCCGCTGGTTGGGAGCTTGATAATAGCCTACATGGAGTCGGAGGTTCGAGAATATTGGAGTGGCGTTGACAGCACTCTCGAATGGAGGAAAGCCTTTGCCGTAGTCTCTGCATGTCGCTTTCGCAACGAACACGACGTAAAAGCAGTGGTGTCCAAGCTGGCTGGGCTGGGATGCTCGAACTTGGCCGGACTGGGATCCTATCACCAGCGAGGATCCTTCTCGTTCTACCCCTTGATTGCCGCCGGAAGCAAGGGTACATCGCTTGCGAAGGTGACGACGGATGCGCTTTGTGATTGTCTCGACAAGGACCTTGCTTGCTATAAAGAGTCTTTGGTCGACGATGTCATAGAGCTCTTGAGAGAGGAGGCTTGGAGAGACTTATTGCAAGGAAGGGCGTTGTGGATTGTGTTGCACTTTGTCAGAACCACAGTTCAAGCAAGATCCGCTTCTTTCGGGAAGAAGCTAGGTCTGCTCGCGACCGTTCATCGCGAGCTTGCTAGCGGAAGGCATGGTGCGTTTAAGGATGATCAAAGCTGTGAGAAGTGGGTCAACGAGCATCTTGTGAAAGCCTTGAATGGGCATCCTTGCGCTGAAAAGCTTTCTCAATCATCGAGGGTAGCGCTTCAAAGCAGAAATGCTTTTGCCTCCGAAAGCTGGGCCTCTTCAGATTTCCCTCGCCATGTAGCCGATTGCATCGTCGCATCCCTGGAAGGTCACGAACTTGTGAGGAACATCAGGACGATCAAGGGTGCGATAGAAAGTCTAGCCACGAGTGTGGAAAAGACACAGTTTCAGTCCAGCCTCGAACGCTCCCTGTGTGAAGCAATTGTGAACGAGTGCTCCTCGATCGAGACTGCCACTTCTGTGCTGTCGCAGCTTGTCTTCACTCGAGATTCGACTTTCATCTCTGAAGGACTTGGAGATCGTGTGTTTGCGGAGAGCTTTGAGGCGTGGAAACCAGCTTCGCTTGCCGCCTTCAGATTGGACAGTCCCTCTGTTGTGGATTTTTGCTCTGCGTGCCTCGACCTTGGGGATGGAGAACCTATGATGCGCCCATTCAGAGAAGTGCTATTCCGCCTATTTTTTGACTGGCTTGACTTGTACGAAACGGAAGGGATTCCTTTAGAAGACCTCAAGAATGGTGCCAGGTACTCCAAGACACGCCTTTGGGAAGTCGTCCAAAGAAAACTGTTTTCCCAGCTGCCATCCACATCCAGCATTGAGCTGAAGATACATGAATTCGAAGGCCTCCTAGCATCAACCAAATCGTCATTATCCGAACCTTCTACCTGGAACTGCTCTCTCCCAGATCTGCTGAATGCCTACAACTGCTCCATCTCCCCAGAATCTGAGTCTGGCCGCATCATACTGAGCTATTGCGCCGGATTCGGCGACGAGGCTACAGAGTCGTTCGGGAATGCCACTACGGAGACTGCGCATACTTTGAGCCAGCTCCGAGAGGATGCTAGATGTGCTGAATCGATTCGATCCGCGTTCTGGCCTAGCCTTTCAACTTGTAGCTTCTTTCTTCAAAACAAGTCAGCCATATTTGAACGAGCCTTCGGGGCACATTGGGAAGGAAACGGAGACTTGGACCGTCTCAAGGAGTCCGTCAAGGCGGCCTTGAGTGAAGTAAAGGCTCTATTTGGACCCGACTGTAGTTTTGTTGAATACAATGGTATTTGCTCCGCAATCGAGGCTTCTCAGTCATCGACGATCGAGGAAGAAGTATCGGTCTTGGCCCAGTTCAAGGAACTTGAGTTGTCAGATCAGTGCATTTCGCGGTTTCTTGCATGTGGTACAATGAATTCGATCTCGGTTCACCTTTCCGCATTCCTTAACTTTTGCGACCAAGTGAAGTTTGAGGTTGTCCACGACACGGCATTTTCGGAAGTCAAGTCCATCGAAGCGGCGCTGCAGTCCAATTCTCTTACAGTTCGGATGGCTCAAGACTTGTGTATGCGACTTCATGCTGCGTTGAAACCAGAGACTGCTGGCGACGACGTTTCGGTCAACACCTTGACGTCAGACTTGCATCAATTCGAAAACGTTTTCTGCTGTCTTGGTAGTTTCAGCCGTCACATTGAGGTTTGGGTCTTTCTGCGGGACATGGACTGGTTTGGCAAGGCGGGGCTTCAGCGTTTTTACAAAGAGCATGAGAACGTAACCAATGTTTTGCTTGGTAATGTCTCAAATGAACACTACTTGAATGTTCTGAGTGCGCTTGAACCGACAGTTCGAGTGTTGTCTGCTCTGGGAGGTTTGCAAGCAGAAGGCAGTTTGCTGCAGTTGCTTAAACGTATTTCGGGATCCTCGGACATAAATCGCTGGATTGGTGGGGCTGCAAAAGATAACATCGAACAGGTGCAAGAGTCCTTGTCACTGATTCGGCGTTGGTTCTGCGAAGGAGCGGATGACATCGCCGGCCTCAACAGTGTCTTTGAAGCAATCCAGGCGAACGGTGCGTACTCTTTGTCTTCCACTTCTGGCATCTCACTTCAACTGGGCTATACATCCGACGGGATGAGAGAGATGACCAACGTTGATGGGAGTGAGCTTGAAGAATTTATTGGACAAATTGAAAGGATCAAAAGAAATGAGTCGGCCGAAGTTGAAGCAGTTGAATGCCTGCTCGAACAACATCGCATGTTGCAGGCGGCTGTGAGCAATTTGATGGACAGCGATCTGGTCGGGTATCCAATCGGTGATCTGCTGGCATTTAGCTGTCGAGTGGGTGAAGAATTCCTTGCACAAGCCTGCGATTTTCTGCAACGCAGCCAAGAATGCAAGGAGGAGAAAGATTCCTGGCTTCAATCTTCCAGAAACAACTACCCAATATCCCTCTTGTTCTGGACGGAGGAGCTGAAGGAAATCAACACCATGTTGGAAGTGGGACCAAGCGACGAGACTGTGATTGAACGCCTCTTTGCGATGCTTTCCAGGATTGATCCAAAGTCAACGCATCTATCAAATGACAGTGTTCGGGAACTAGTTGAGCAGCACTCCTCGGCGATGGAGAACTCACTCGAAGAGGAAGGGTGGCTTGTCAAAGCATCAAGTTTTCTCGAGCGCGCAAGTCGATTTGCCGGGGCTTCGTTCCAGGACAAAAGCAACATTGAAGGAACATTGCAACTTCACAAGGTTTCATGTGGAATCGAACAAGAGAGAAAATGCATCCTCGCAGTTTTGGAGCACGTTTATAAGGTATGTGGAGGCATGTTGGAAAGCTACATGTACGTGTTCCTCAGCATCGGTCTAACAATGTCGCTCTCGCTCTGCTGCTGCCGCACTTTTAGGATCGCCTACCTTATGAGTTCGAGATTCTCGATGCCCTCGATGGCTGTTCAGAAGATGAGTTGGGCCTGTTTCTGAAGCGATCATCAATGTTCCCATGCAACGTCTTCTGTATTGTCAATGTCGACAAGTTGTCTGGGAGGAGAATCGAGAAGCTGCTCGACTTCCTCTCAGATCAGGATATCAAATTCCCGAAGCTTCAACTCCATTGCATTCAAAGCAGCCCAACAATTCTCGATGCTTCAAGTACTGTTCAGGGCAAGGACTGGGACGAGAGCATTTTCAACTTTGGACCCAATCGATGGAAGAATCTTATTGTCGATGACAAACGCATAACGAAGGTCCACATGGTTGTGAGCGAGGCATGCGGCGCTGGTAAAACAATGTTCATTCGCAATGAGTTGGATCGACTTTCACCAGATTGTGAAGTGGGTGCGATTACAATTCACGAACGGAGCTCGGTGGATTCGCTGGCCGATGATGTTATGGCAACTTTCACAGAAACTGTGAAGCAGAAAGGATTGCACATTTCTTTCATGTGCATGCCATCACTTGAGGACAGTGCAAAGCGCAAGAGGTGGTTTGATGACATTAATTCCTTCTTCTATTCTCTTCTTGTGAAAGGCGCACTGCGAAGTCGTGCCTCCTCCAGATCATTTCAGCTGGGCACATGCAGTTGGATTCTTTATGTGGAACTCCCATTCAACGCAAAGTCAGGTGGATCTGCTATTGAGTCCGCGAAATACTGGCTCCATAGGCATGTGCCAATTCTGGCAATGAGCTGCGAAGTTATTGTGCCGGAATCAAAGTTGATAATTGACGAAGAAACAAGGCGTGTGTGTACATACCTGCGGGCTTACGAAGATGGATCTATTGACCGAAAGTTTCAAAGCCAAAAGAAAAGGGTCGCCTTTGTCCTTGACAATTCGGGCAGCATGGGTGATACGGTTGGAAGTGGCCAGACAGCTCTTAGTGCTGCCGTGGACTGTGCATTGCAAATATTTGATAGCCACCTGAACCAAAATGATGTAAGTGCAGACAGGTTGTCTGATGCTTTGTTTGCTGAAAAACGGACTAACGTTTTGCGAATTCTTGTTCACATCGCCTTTGCGAAATGTCATAGTTGATTGGGGCCACGTTGTTCTCTGACCATGTTAGAACAATAGTGCCAATGCAGGATGTTGGGGATAGCAATCACAAATCCTTTCTACGGAATTCATTGCATAGCTGTCGCAGTCAAATCGAAGGTGGTACCTACATGTATCGCGCCTTACAGCAAACATTGATTGACTGTGAACGAACTCCTGGCGTCGAGACATGGATCATCTGTTTGACTGATGGATGTTCAAGTGACACTGATTCTGCCTTCCGCCCACTACTTGAGAGGTCATCAGACAACCTAAACGTAATCTTGATTGGGGTGAATCTGCCCTCTAGCTACCAATCCCAGATGACCCTTCTTTGTAACAAATATCGAGGTCCAGCGGAAGAACCAAGCAAGGGGATATACATCTCATCTCGAGCAAGCGTTGAGTCCCTTGCTGAGGCATTTGAAACAGCCGCCAATTGCATTCCTGTTTCACAGACCTTTGAGCTGGATGGACAAGTCAGCAACAGTGAATGCTGGCGACTAATCAAGAAATATGCCCCACAATCGATTCCGGAAGGAAGCATGCAGCAATTCTCCTTCTGGGTAAGGTTCATCTACAGGCGAGTTTCCATTCTTGACAAAAACGACGAGTTCAACTTCAACAACAAGTTTGAGCGCCTTGGAAGCAGTTTGATGGAAATCATGTTAATGGAATCTGAAAGAATCCTAGGGCAAGATCTTGCTTTTGATTGGATCAACACAAACTATACTCAGCTCATTTATGACTTTGAAGATCCGGAATCACCCAAATTTAGGCTACTCTGCACATCACCTGGAAACCTGGATCCTGCAGTCCGGCAAAGATATGATGAGCTTACCCTTCCAGGCTTCTTTGTTCCAACAGAATCAGAGTTGAGCAGTCAGAGAGTTCTCTGTGACTACCTATCACAGGCCTTGGACATCCCTGTGGGTGGGCGTGATTGTCTTGCTTGTGTTGAAAAGGAACGGTTTGTCTTGACCCTAGATTTTGCATTGAAGATGCTGTGCTTGGAGGAAAGAGTGGCCTGTGGCATTCCAGTAATCATGGTGAGTTTCCTAGGCAATCTCCAGCATACCAGACACAACTTGTCTAAATGGGTTGTGTGTTTTCTCCACAGGAGGGAGAAACTGGAGTGTCCAAGACTGCGTTGACCAAGATGTATTCGAAACTGAAGAACTTGTCCAATTCATTGCGGGCAAAAGACCTGACCAATGTGGATCTGAAAGCCATCGAGGAGGAGGCGGAACAGAGGGGGCAAAGTTTGGGGATGGGTGACAGTCCTCTAGCGAGGTTGGAAAGATCACTTGAATGTGCGGCAGAGCGTTCGCGAGAGGACACAACCGAATTGTCGGAGCTTCTGTACACTTTACTTACTGAGAAGGTTGAGCAGAGACCAGCCATCTTTCAAAGCAAGCCTGACAAATTTGACTCTGGCCAGACTCGAAAAGTGCTTGAAATGCTGAAGTGGTTTGGCTCGTCTGTTGTGGAGCCGACATTCTTTGGTATCAATGTGGATTCCACGATGCGTGCTGCTGATGTTTCAAGCTTGCTTGACCCCATTCGCCAAGTCGCAAGAAAGCTTAAAGGAGAGAAATCCACTGTGATTGTATTTTTTGATGGTAAGACATTCATTGTTTCTTCTGGTTCTTCTTTCTTTGACGTGCAACTGACTTCCCACACACCACCCTCGTTGACAGAGATCAACACCTCTTCTGTGCTGGGTCTTTTAAAGGAAGTTGTGGTGGATCGAAGCCTTAATGGTGAACCATTGGAAGCGAACATAGTGGCTGTTGCTGCGTGCAACCCCGTGCGCTCATCTCTCCAACGCCGGACATGGGCAAGTGGGCATTACCAGGTTGTGGCTCTCCCTCCATCAATGGAATTCCTGAAATGGTGTTTTGGGTCTTTGAATGCTACACAAGAAGAACAGTTCATAGCCTGTCGTCTTGGAATGATGGGCCGGAATATGGTTCCTCCAGCTCTTTGCTTGGCGTTCACCAGTTTGATTGCAGCTTCACAGAGGACGGTGCGTCGACTGGCCGAATCAGACTTGTTGAAGGGTGTGGAAAGAGATCAGTCCAGGATATTGGAAGCAAAGCAAAGGGCTTCTTCAGTTGTCTCCCTTCGTGACATCCAACGGGTTTTTACGCTGTGGGACTTCATCTCTTCAAAGTTTGAGTCTCTTGGGCTCACATCTTCTTCTCATGTTATACGGCAACGGAGGGGAATGCTCCTTGCTGTGGCTATTGTGTACTTTGTGCGCTTGGATTGTGCAGGCCGATGTGAGCTACTAAGTGTTATCCGAGGATTGCCTGGTGAAGAGCTTGAAGAAAGTCTTGAGGATGTTCTTGATGTGGCCATCGAAGCAGTTCTCTCGAATACTGTTGTACCTGAAGGTATTGCACCCACCAGAAGCCTTGCAGAGAATATCTTCATGACTCTCGTTTGTACCCTTTCCCGAGTTCCTCTTCTAATTGTTGGGCTTCCTGGTACAGCAAAAACACTCAGTGTGAATATGTTGGCGGACACAGCCTGTGGTGAGGACAGTGCCAACCCTTTCTTCAGGGAGTTTGCACGTGTTTGCTTGTTTCACTACCAGTGTAGTAGAGAATCAACAGACAAAGAAATCGCGGCCGTCTTCCAAAGAGCAAGTCAGCGACAGCAGAAAGTTGACCGTGCAAAACAGTGCTGTGTTGTCTTCATGGATGAGGCAAGTTTGCCTAAGGAAGAAAGGGAGAGTCATAAAGTTTTGCACTACACATTGGAAGGAGACTCTCGTGTTGATGTTGGCTTTGTTGCAATTGCCAACCATATCCTTGATGCAGCCAAGAGTAACCGGTGTGTGGTTCTGCTGCGCCCCAAGCCAAATGACAAGGAAATGGCCACAATTGTCAGTGGTTTGCTATTTGATAGGGCTTGTGATGGCACAATCCTGACACGTGAAGTGGAGCTTGGCAATAGCATTATGATGGCAGATTCATTTGCACTAGAGCTCACTTGCCAATGGACCAGCCTATCGGAAAGCGTTTTCTCTTCTTCGCAACCAAGTCCGCACAGCTCCAATGGCCTGCCTGTCAATGCAAGAGCCCACATGATGGAAGAGGCAGAAGTGGAAACATTTTTTGGCTTGCGAGACTTCATTTATTTCCTAAAGGCATTGAAGTCAACAACAACATCTCGGACATTGACACGGATTCAAATTCCGGTGGAGTCTTTTGTTCAGTCACTTGAGCGAAACTTCTCAGGTCTGGGACAAGCCAAAACGAGGAAGATTGTCTCATTCTTCCTACAACCATTCTCTGATTCATTGGGCTTGGGACAGGATGTTGTTGATTTCCTTCGATCCCCAATGGAGATTCTTGGTGACTCCTTGCTACACAACCGGGCATGCTTAGATCAAAAGGAACGGGCTCGGTTCACCATGATCATTGATAGCTCTGAGGATGATTCCATCATGCGCCTTTTGGGAATGACTGGTCTGGTTGATTCAACCAAGGGAAGCTTGTTCAAGGCTTCTCACATGCCAGAGGACTCCTCGTCAGAGAAGCTTCGTTTGATCTCTGGAGTGAAATTCGCAGCAGCCCAAGGAGGTTTGGCTCTGTTAAGCCAAACAGAATCTGTGAATGAATCCTTTTATGACCTTACAAACCAGAATTTTCGGGTGGTAGCTGGCCGAGATGGAGTCTCTCTATTCACAAATATTGCGGTTGGTGGGGAATCAAGAAGAAGCAAAGTTAACCCCGACTTTGAATGCATCGTGCATGTGAGAAGCTCCAAAGTTTGTGAATTGCCCAGTCCTTTCTTGAACAGATTTGAAAAATGCCGGCTGGATATCAAGGATTTTTTGTTGGATGGGTTATCAAAGCTTGGGCCAGGCATGGCAGGTGTAATGCAAAGAGCACGGAAGCAGACCCTGCTCCTGCTAAGCCCGCTGATCGAGGAAGAGGGATTGTTTGGATGGGCAAACAATGATCGGACGCTTGACAGCATTTTTGTTGATATGCTCCCATCTTGGTCCTTGTCTCATGGTGCAACAGCACCACAATTTGTGGTTGGCAGAGCAGAATCATTCTCATCAACCCTGGCACAATTTGTATCAACAATGACTTCATTAAGTGTGGAAGCTGGTGACATGAGGACAATTTGTGAACAAGCTCTTGAAGTCCTACCAGCTGAGGCCGAGGGCCTATTGAAACAGTTTGTGGATGTCACTGTTGAGACAGGTGGCTTAATTGAGCAAGCACTCAACAAGCTAATGTCAGTGCCATTGGATGACAATTTAGGCAAGCTTTGCCAGGGCCTTGTCCAGATTGTAATCACACAATATGCTGTTGCGACCTTGATGCGACTTGCAAAGCCAGAGATTGTGTTTGCACTACAAGACAGGCTTCATCCCGACATAGTCCAGATGAATCTCAAACAGCCATCTTCCTTGAAGTGTCTGGTTGAAAGGGAGCTGAATAGTCTCGCAAACTGCCCCAAATCAAAGATGGTAGTCGCCTACACCAGGACTGATGTTTTCAACCTCTGCATGCCAACACTATCACCAAATGAAGACCCAAGCAAGCTAGAGAAGGCAAAAGCTGAGGAAATTTCCACTCTTGTTTCAGATAGAGTTGAAGAGCTTGTTATTGAGCGTCTGGACTTGCTGCGGAGTGAAGCAAGGCTAAGAAGCTCATTGGTTGCTTGGATTCAACAGCCCAGAAAAAGTGCCTACATACTCTTTGTTGACATGAAGGACAGCAGGTCTACAGAAAGATGCAACTATGTCAGGATGTGTGTTGAAGCGAACCTCTCCTCCGCCAAGGGCAAGCTTTTTCTTCTAGTCCTCCATTATCCCCCCTTGGTGTCAAATTCATGGTACCCCGCTCTTCCCCTGGGTGGTTGGAGCCACTACTTCATTGACGGAATTGGTCAGATGGGGCCTGAAATTGGCACCAATGGTTGGCTGACAATTGTCTGCTCTGGTCAGGAGGGAGCAAATGATTTACACAAACAACTGCTGGGCTTCTTGAAACAACTACTGCCTTCAGCCTTGTTGCAGGTTGGTTGTCAGCAGATTCTCCATCCCACACAGATTCACAACGTTGATGCTGAAGGAGACATGTTTGCCTCCCAGGTCAATGCTTTGCTGGAGGTCACAAACCATAGAGTTGGCCAGCTTACAGTTGGGGATATCCTCTGTAGCAAATTTGCAAGAGAATGGCTTCTGGATGGACTTCCCAAAGTGGCATGTGCTGCTTCCCAGGGTCTCATGCAAGGGACAACTCAACTATCTATGGGAGCATCCATACAGAGCTCTGTCTCAAGAGCATTTCTGGCATACATACACTGGAGTCTGTGCAAAATGAATCAAGATCAGAATCTTTCGGTCCTCACAGGCCCCAATAGATGCTCAAAGGATGTTGAAGAATTGTTTGGCTTTGTTTTGGAGCGCTTGCCAACAGTTGGCACAGGTGAGATTTTCATGCACCAGGAAGTATCAAGTCGCGAACCAGCAAGTGGGAAGAACCTGCTGGTAAAGGCTAGATTCCCTTTCTTCTCCATGATATCATCGTGCATTGACGAGTGTCTTGAGATGAGTGAGATGGAGTTGACAGAAAACAGCAACAGCACAGGGACTACTCGAGTGCCCAGTGATCATTGCACAAAAGATTTGTTTGACACAGCCATGAACCTGCTTGGGAATGGCACCAGGGAATTAGCGGATCGGCAGATTGATTCCCATCGTCTGGACTTGCTGGCCAATGTGGTGAAGCTGGTTCAAGAAGCTTGCCCTACAGAGGACAGTGATGTCTTCCAGTTGTACATGGAGCACTTTGTGAAACATACAACAGGATGTGAAGCTACTGAGGTTGCACTGGAGTGGCTAAGGGAAGAACTAATGAAGGTTGGTGCCAAGAGGAATCTTGTTGGGCTGCACTGTGTTCTTCGCACCAATGAGACCCGAGTGTTCTTCCTGAGGTTCACATCATGGTCGGCTGCACTGGCAACAAAACAAGGCAATCTTGATAGAACACAACTGATACAATCCATACGTGCACAAGATAGATCTGTTTCGATGCAGCTTGTTACCATCATGTTGAAGCATTTTGAGGAGACTTTGCCAAGCATCCTGGAGCCAGATTCAACCTGGAGCATCCAGCTTTCATCCTTCCTTTCACAAGTTGTCATGGGACTTGTGGACCAATCCATTTTGTCTTCAGGAGACACAGGAGCTCACATTCGAATCCTCGTTGGTTTCCTTGTCTTCACCAGGGTGCCGGTACCAGAAGACATGCTACGTTCAAGTCTTGCTCAGTGGTATGATGACAAAAACAAGGTATTCCGAGAGGAGGCAAAAAACATCTCTCTTTCGGACTTCTTGGCCTTTATGGGCGGTCACCAAAAGACACGAGAGTCTCTACTTTGGGGCATCTTCTGCCCTGATTTGATGAAAGCTATGCCAGACTACTTGGATCAAGACCTGTGTGCATTGGCAGGAATTATCAATGATGGCGATATGCCAAGCAAAGAATCTCACTTTTCCTCATCTTTGCTGCAAAGGGCTTGCTCAAACAGTGGTGGGATTGATTGGTTTGGATTATCCAAGCAAGCCCTGACCAGTATCAGTTCTCTACTCCAGTGTAAAAAGCTGAGGGAGTTTACTGAAACAGGAGTGAGAGTGACTGTTCCTCACTTCATCCCCTCGTGGCTTCTTGCCTCATCATCCGAATCATTGCATCATGGTTCTGCAAGGCTTATTTCAGATGATGAGATGTACTATCCAGAGTTCTTCTCGTCATATGAGCACTGTTTTGATGGGAACTTTTCAGTGGTAGTGTTTGACATGATCTTGCGTATCCAGTTGAAAGCAGCCGGCAAAATGCCATCCTCAGATCTTCTCCAGTTGCTGATGAAGGGTATAGAATTGGAGACAACTGTTCATCCTACAAAGCCTGAAGACCAACTGGCAGGGTCCGCAATTAGTGCTCTGGCTCTGGATTCCCAAATGCTGTGCTTTGTAGCCAAGGTTGCCCAAGAGCTTGTGGAATATGGAGAAGCTGCAGCACTGACCAGTACACATGGACAAATTGGGGTTACGATGCTGGACCAGGTAATGCACCTTCCTCACACAAGATACAAGTCATTCTTCCTAGCATTGATCAAGCATCACAGTGGGGCAAATTCATTGGCCTCACTAGTGGCACCAGGAGGTCAACTCAACATGTTCCCATGGTGTCAAGAACTAGCAACACGGGATGAGGTTGCCGATTTTGAGTTGCCTACACTACAATTCTTCATCCAGCAAGAGCCTGATGTACAACCACCGGCCCCAGCAGCAATTGTCATGAAATCAGGGGATGCGTCTGTTAGTCAGACTCGCTACATACAAATTCTTCTGGATGGGTCAAGTCTCCTGGAGGAATTATCCCTCCTACCAGATCTCATTGAGGTAAGATTGATTGCTCGACAATACTCAAACGTGGAGCCTTCTTTATGGGTACTAACTTTTCCCCTTTTGGTCCAAAGTTCTATCTCTGGGTACATGACAACTTCAAGCATCAAGTCACAAGGAATGATGCCCGTTCAAGCATAATAGGGGACATAATGAGACGAGACAACCTTCTCAAACGTTTTGAAAAGATGCAGGCATTGCGTCTTGTTTGCCTTTGGGAACGGCTGTCAAGGAAGGTGGACAAGGTGCTTCAAACTTCCAAAATTTCTTGGAATTGCAATGAGTTTGCATTCAACACTTTGAGTGATGCGACTGTCATGGAGCTTGTGAGTGATGGCAATCTAGACGAACCTGGCAATGATTTCCTCTTCCGGGTGATCAGGAGCATTATTGTCAAGTACAATGCATTAGTGACCCGTGTCCATGAGCTTCAAGACAAGGAAGGAAAGAGGGCCTGTGAAAGGGAAATCATCCTGCCCAATACCATCTTGACAGGGTGTGTTGGTTCTCTAGCAGTGAATTTGCTGCCTTTGCTCCCAATGCCCGAGCTTGAGTTAGTTGCAAGTGCTTCATGGCATAACGGCACCAAGACTTTCAATCTGGAGTCTTTTGAGAGTCTCTTGGCATTGTCAACAATCGACACTGACCGACCCAGGTGCATATTGGACCCCGTGATCCACCTGCGGGAACGATTCTTCTTTCATGGTGAAAGACACCATGAAAAGCATAGCAATGAAGTGGAGCTGGTGCTGGATGACTCTGGGATCTTTTATGCCCGAGAGCAAGATTTTCGATTGGTCAGGAGGGCAAAGGAGACCATGGACCACCTCGGTATGGCAGCAAGAGACAAGGGTGTTGAAGGGCTCCTCAAAATGAAGTTCCAAAGTCTTGACAGCCACCGAGCTGTCTCTTCCATGCTTACAGCGCTTTGCGCATTGTTTGAAATCCTTGCCTCAAAGGGTTCCTGTCAATTTTTCTGTCTGGCAGAGGCGCTGGCCCGTGTACGCTTGACTATGGACATGGCCAAGCTGACGGAAAAGCTCGGTTTCCCAGAGTTGGATTCTGCCCAATGGAAGTTTCTGAGGGCTTTGAATCGAGAGCAAATTGCAGAGCTGGTCCATTACCTCTGTTATCAGCTTGCAACCGAAGGATATTTGTTCGCCAACTGCACCTTGTCAGCAACTGAAACGATCAGCG